TAGTGCCTGGAATAAAATGGAAATTATATCATGAAAGGGAACACTCTTTACTGAATATATAGAGCAAGAATGATAAAAAGAAGAAAAAGTCCAATAAAATTACTGTATTAAAAGAGGGAGCAAGAAATCCTTGATTTAAACGCAATTAAGTGAAAGATTAAGTAATTGTCATTTAGGGAAAGCGTAATGTAATCAACATTTGACGCCAGAGAATAAAATGTAAGTAAGGCATTTCTTACCAGTAAAAGTTGATTCTCCATTATAAAGACCTCCAACAAGTTGTTCAAAAACTCAGAAAATATTGTTTCCATAAGCAATTCTTAGTCTTCTAGAAAAGGGGATTCAGAGAACCAAAATCACAAATGAAACATTGTTATAAAACCCTGTGGTACCAGTAAAAATATATTTACTTAGAAAATAAGCTTAATTTAGTGCTAAAAGGAAGAGTGAATATTTACACAGTCCTAGAAAATATAGATGCAAAGGAAAAAAGAACAGGACATGAATATTCAAAACAACTTATTTTTGTTTTATCATATTAGTATTTTATTGCAAGACTGTTGTCTATAAAATGTGGGATAATGCAAGTAAGTAATTATGTCATATTTTAACATTCTTTTCATTGAGCATCAAAATTCTCAGTGAGGGAAAAAAGAAATTAGAAATGTAAAGTGGAAGATGTCAAGTAAAAACCCATGGAATTTGAATTAGAAGTAACAGAATGAATTAGTAGAATATTTCATCTTTATATAAATATGTATCTATAAGTAGGATGGTATATTTGCATGCATATGTGTGCGAGTTCGTGTGCTTATGTATTCTAGCGATGCTTACTGAAAAGGCCTGGATAGAAGACCAACTGGTAGCAACGTGTATCCTAAGCATTCAGATTTTCATCTTGAAATATCACTTCTTATCAAAAAGGACCAAAACTTGTAAGAGAAAAGATGGATTCTAATCACAGCACGAAATGCTTAAAGTGAACTGGAACATCTTGCCATGCCAGATAACAAATGTGACAGATTTTCAAATATGGTGTAAAATTTTCTATTTCACATAAATCTACAATATGAACTTGCCACTCCCACACACCATCAATAAGTGGAGGTCATCTCTCAACCACTGTGAATCAGAGATAGCTATACGATTACTCTGATAAATGTAGTTAGAAAGAGACACTGGGTCAATTCTAGCAGTTCTTAACTGGCTTAGAAGCCTGCACTTCTTTTTCACCTGTATTTCAGGTCTTGGACAGTTTTATCTTAGAATCCAGTTACCTACCATTCCATGAGAAATTCAAGCCATATGGAGGGTCATGTACAGGTGATCCAGTTAACAGCTTTAGATAAACTAACAATTTATACAAATGCAGAAGACAGAGAGGACAGAGGGACATATTAAACTGTACACCAAAAGATAAAGTAAGCAAAATTCAGCATAGGAAATTCTATGCAACAATGTGTTTGTTCCTTGATTAAACTGCCAAGAATGAAAAAGAATGGAGGTGGAAAACTGTAGGTGAGAAGACCTAATTTAAAACTAAAACTATAGTGTTTCAGTAACAATGATATAGACAAGCTAAAGGGTCCCACATCTAGAGATGGACAGAGAAGCCCTTCAAGAAATTTGACATGTGTTGTCAAAGAAGCAGTAATAAGTGGAGCAGATAGGGTCACAGAAACAAAGAATGCGTTCCAAGATGGGGTTATTGTCACCTAAATCAAATTCCTTCACAAAATAAATAAGATGAAGATTGAAAAGCATTAAGTCATCATTTGCCAACATGGAGTTTGCTGGCGATCGTGCTAGAGCAGAATCAATAGAGAATGAAATAAAAAATAGTAAGTGATAGCAATTAGAAGATAGGAAGAGGAGATATCCGTTATCTACAGGAAACTTTTTCTTTGAGGAAGGGTCTTGCTATGTAGCACAGGCTGGCTTCAAACTCATGATGATTCTCCTGCCTCAGCCTCCCAAGGGCTGGGATTATAGCCATGTGCCACCACACCTGGCTAAAGGCAACTTTATAAAGAATTTTCTTGAGAAGGGGAGCAGAGAAAAAGTGCAGAATTACAGAACAATGTGGAGATGAAAGGAGATCTACTTTTAGATGGGGATTTATATAAAAGTTGGGATTTATGTGCTGAGGAAGAGTTTGAAGATACAGGGAAGAGAAAGAATAAATTAAACTTTGTGGAGCTGAGAGAAAAGTAAACCCAAGACAGTAATCTCTGATAGAGGAATAGCTTGCTCCCTCTGCTAGAGGAATCAAAGGGAAATGCAGACTCGGGCACATGTAAAGACCTCGAGGTAGACGGGAGCCAAAAGTCTTACTAGCTCAGATATTTTCTTTCCTTCCAACTTGAGACAAATCTATCATCCTCAAAGATGTTGAGGTGAATCAGACTTTTTATGTTTTGTTAAGTACAGGATTGAAAGTAGTGGTTTTCAATCATTTTGGACCATGATGCAGTAAAAAAAAAAAAATACATTTTTTGTTATGATGCAATACAAACACACACACAACTATGTAAGAGAGACAGACAGACAGAGAACTGAAATCACATTTCGTAACTCACTGTTTATCCTAAGAATGCACTCTTCTTTCTTTTTCAAGCCAGCAAGGCAAGCTGGACTGGTAAGAGGCAGAGAGAACTGCTGTGCTGGACTGAGGAGAAATTAGGGGATTCTTCTTACGCAGAGGTAAACATGACTCCCAAGCAGGGACAGGTCTTGCTACTTCAGAAACTCATGTGTATTAGGGATATTAGAAATAAACTAAAATTGTATTTTTGATAGGGTTGTATATTAACAAATCATGCTTTTAATAATTTGCTTTCTTAATATCCTTTTTTCATGTATGGGGAATGTACAGCATTGCTATATAATATTATGTAAAATATTATTACACTCTTTCCTTTGGAGACAGGGTCTCACTATGTAGTCCAGGATGGCCTTGAGTTCACTGTGTAACACAGGCTGGCCTCGATGAGGTTACACGGGTTACAGTGATCCTCCTGCCTTAAGAATTACAGGCATGTACCACTGCTCCTGGTTTAAAACACATATACTTTAGAAAATGACTAGAAATACCATATAATCACTGCCCTGGTTAAGCAATAAAATATTTTCAGTAACGTAAAGATCCTCATCCCTATATGCCTCTGTCTGCCCTAGAGATAATCATTTCATAGTTTTAATAATTTTTTCTGTATTATCTTACTACCTATATATACATACTGAAATAATACAGTTTAGTTTGGCATAATTTTGTACTTTATATAAGTGAAATACACCACAATATGTATGCTTTTGCATCTGGCTCCTTTCAATGACTATTATGTTCATGTTGATGTTTATTTTTCATTTTCATTGCTACATATAATTTTATAAATGAATAAACCATAAGTTTTATATTTAGTCTTTTTTTCTTGGCAGTACTGGGGATTGAACTCATGAGCTTGTGCATACTAAGTAAGCACTTGTATTGGATGCTTTTCCATCGCTGGCGCATGCATATGAAACCACAATATAAGGGAGGAGAACTTTACTTTGCTGGTGGTTTCAGTTCACATTTGGCTGGTTCTATGGCAGGACCATCATGACAGAAGAGTGTGGCACAAAAACCTGCTTAGTTCATGGCAAATGGGAAGCAGAGCAGGGAACAGTGCTGGAGCAGAAGGGCAAGGGACCAGCTGTAGACCCCAAGGCCACACCTCCATGATCCTCCAAGGCACACCTGGTAATGTCCTCCACCCATTCCTGAGTGGGTCCAAAAGCCAGTTAAATTGAAAGCCTATCCTGACTGTCACAGCACTCTACCACTGAGCTATGTCCCCACCTCTTTTTATGTTTTGTTTTGGGACAGGGTCTCACCAAGTTGCGCAGACAGGATTTGAGTTTACCATACTCCTATTTCAGCCTCCCACATAGCTGGGGTTATATGTGTGTGCCCCCAAGTCCAGTTTCTATTCTATTGATGAACATTTGGCTTGTATTCTTTTGGGAATCCCAATTCGTGTCTCCTTGCCTGTATATACAGGAGCTTCTTAAGGACATATCTAGGATAGAGTTGCTGAATCTAAGAGCAAGAATACTTTCTATCTTACCCAGTAAGTCTCAACTTTTCCAGTGTATACCAGTTCATGCTTCCTTTTCTTCTGTATCATCATCGGTCACTGACACTGTGACATTTTTTAGTATCACTGGCAATCTGGTGGGTATGCATTGATGTTTCTTTGGGTGCTTTAATTAATATTTCTAACATCTCATATGTTTATTAACCAGTGAGATTTCAGGTTATTTTACTTTCACTTTAAAATGCTAGTCAGAACTCACTAAATTAACATTGAAAGTAGTTATTGAGGGCGTACTATTTTACCTTTCTGAACTACTCCCTTACTTGTAAAATACAGATGACAATCTCACAAGGTTGTTATGATGATCATATGAGATATGAGAAGCACATATTGGTGCTGAATACACAGGGTGTGCTCAGTGAATGGTATGTATCAGTCACACTATTTTTTTAAAAGGGAGAGAATTATTGGGATCTGAGCCCAGTCACAGCTAGTGGTTAAAGTGCTACCTAAATCTCCATCCATGTTTCCATCAGAATTACAATGCATCAATTTTGAAAATGTAAAGGCAATGAATGATACCAGGTTGGAATTTGAATGTGACCTGTTGGATGTCAGTCTGAATGGTGATGCGAACATCTAGAGCAGGATCCCTGCCTTGCCGTTTGGAGAGAATGACGCAGGGCTTCTGTGGGTTTATGATTTTAGGCCCATAAAAGAGTATTTTGACCCTGGGAGGAGCCCTTCATTTAAATACCATTATCCACCGCTCCCAGCCTCTTGTTTGGACTGCTCACCCTCTCTTCACAGGATATCATTGTGGTGTAAAAGGCTCAGTGGGGAGGATATTACAACGAACTCTGGAATGTGGATTTTTGCCCTAGAATTCCTTGTGGAAGTTTATACAGACAGCCTGGATTTCTTGTTTTATTATTCTCATGATGTTGGGAACAGTCATGAAGACAAACCTTCCTGTCAGATGGATTTTTGTCTTTTTTACATTATCCCAGAAACTACCAGAACAGTACAAAACTGAGAGTGGAGGTAGGTAGAGAATGCAGGTAACTCAATAGAAGAAAATCTTGGGAATCTTAACAGTAACAGTTATGCCAACTTCTAAAATTACTTATTTTGTTTGATGGAAAAACCACTTCTTAGAAATCATCAAAAATTTATTTGCAATTTTATTTTAAATACTTCTGTAAGATCAGATGGTTATTTAAATTTGGTACATTTGACAGCACTTCAAATATCATGAATGCTTATGTATTCCTTTTAAACAGCTACACAAATTCCTCCCCCACCCCAAAACCAAAATAGATGTTCCCATGCTTGAATTGCTATTTCTAATTTCTAATTTATTTTTAAGGGCTAATTTACAAAATGAAATTGTTTGGATGACTGGTTTTCAGTAAACATGGTATATCAAATTGGTTTCTAAATTTAGAGAAAGGTTGAATCGCCTCTTACAATCATCAAAAAATAGTAGAAGTAATGATAATAAAGTTCTTACAACTAAAAGTCAAATTCTGGAATAATAACCAGAAGTGAACAGTCACAGATAGAAGCTACATCATTTATAATTCTTGCAAATGGTTATTCTGATCTTTTTTATATAATAACACCTCCCCAAATCATCTTACTAAATGATAAAATATGTACCAAATATACCATAATTAATTTCCATCATCTAGGTGAATCTGATAGTATTAAATATAATTTTAAAATACAAAAAATACTATATAAAATTTTAATCATCGTGTAAGAAGGGCAATGTTGTTTCAACAAATGATATAATTTTTGTGTCTGATCTTTTAGAAAATGGTAATTTTTGTTATCAATATAAATGTTCTCAAAGATCTTGTTTATATATAATGGATTTTAGCATGAGGCTTAGATCTTAAATACAGTAGATTCCATATCCTTTCTTGGAGGCTTTTGTGGACTGATTTTTGGTAATATTTCTTTGGCATACAATGTTTTATGAAGTCCAGCTTCTCGAAGTGCTAATTCAAAGCGAAGTCTAGGGTCAGAAATTATCTGTAGAGATAAAATATAGTTCAAATAAATAAAATAAATAATAACTCATTGAATTAAAATAGATTTCATGTTTCAATTTTTAGTTCAACAATTTTTGAACTATGACTACATTGATTTTTTTTACTAAAAATGTTCAAAAGGTTTTTGACATTATTACTTTTTAATGTGACAGTTGTTTCCAACGTTGGCTGCATAGAATGTTATATATTAGAAGAATCAAAATATATTTAAATTATTAACAAATGAGAAACTTTTTCAATACTATCATTATTTGTTCCTGGATGGAATTGTTAAATATAGGTAATCATTGATTAAAATAAATCTACCTTAATAAATAAATCAGCCTGTGCATCTGTTTTTAAACAAAAACTTTAATTCCTCTGTCATCTAACAATAAGTAAAATAAGTTTAAATATATGACCACTACTTGAAAACAACATCAATAAGACCTTTCTTCCAAGGCTAGATTTCATTTCAAACAGAACTAAGAAATCTGATGCTAAGTGGGAGTAAGTATATGAATAGCTCAATTTCTATTCTCATTTATAGCTGACTGGGCCTTATTCCTCTTCCCCTCTTATGAATATTAAATGTCAACACACACTGTTTGCTATAATGAAAAAGTGGTTACGTGTGGATTTTACGTAATAAGGCATTTTACCTGGCTTTGAAATCTCCTAAGAAGATGAGGTAATGATCTGATGAAAGCAGCTCCTCTCTTAAAGAGGCCTTGGTGTACAGAGGTGATAAAAAGGTGTGCAGGTGTTATCACTTGGTCTGAAATGTCCCCCACGGACAGATGTCAAAGCTTGGTCCCCCTGCAGCAATGTTCAGAGATGGGCTTTGGAAAGTGACCAGACCATGACAGTTGTGAGTGGATTCATAACCTAATGACGGCTTGGGGAAGGTGGTGGAAACGAGGAGTTGGGGTCTACGGGGAGGCAGATCACTGGCAGGATATATCAGTGGCCAGGACATGTTTTGCACGCGTGCTCCCTCTCTCTCCCTCTTTCCCTCCATCTGTCCCTCTGTCTGCCATGAGGTGAATATCTTGACTCTACCATATGCTCCTCACACTATGTTCTGCCTGTCAGCCAAAATAAATCCTTCCTTCTTTAAGTAGGTTTTTTTTTTTTCTCAGATATTTTGTCACAGTGATAGAAAGCTGACTAACCCAGCAGGCAAGCACAAGTTTGTGGCACTGTGGGACAGATGCTCTGATAGTAGTAAAACATGGAGCTACCCCTCCTGGTGGTGAGGTGAAGGTGGTCTTGGGTAAGAAGGTGCAGTCAAGCTAGCATGAAGTTAACTTAATCATATATAAAGGGGGTGAGAGATATAGATGGAGGGGAAGGCATACATGAACTCAGAGGCAGATAACTCAGTTTTGGAATGGAGTCTGGATGGAACACTGGCGCCATTTAGGAACACTGGAAAGGACGCTTCTGTACCTGGGATTTGAATTTAAAAGGTTTGAAGCCACCCCAAGGTGCCCAAGCAGCTAGTGGTGGTGTATCTGTTTCGGCTTTTAGCATGGAAGCAATATGGTCATTGTAGTTGCTGATTGTAATAATATATCATTATATAGCGAAGTCAATCTGGTCATAATTTAAGAATACATTATTTCTGTAAAAAAATTTCTTTTTTATTTATTTAAGAGAAAAAATAAAAAGTTAAAAAGACAAACAAACAACAACAACAAACCCAAAATATTAACAATATAGATTTTCAAAACAAGATGGAATTTAACAATGGTTGTAATAGTGCATATTGTTACCTTCAAAAAGGTTGCTTAGATTACCAGACCTAGACATGTAAAACTGATCTAATCATGAGTATCAACTGTTCTTTTCCAAGCACTAATACAATTAGTAGTAGTGTCCTTTTTAGTTATCATATGTATAGATATATAAATTTATGTTTTTCCTTTTCTCTTCCTTCTTTTCTCCTTTGCCCTTACACAGTTACTTCTTACTCTTTGAGAACTTTCTTAGCCTTACACAATATTTATTGTAGATTTGGATCATATTTGCTAGAATAAATTAAAGAGGCAGGGAAAAAAGAGATGGAGATGGGGGAGTTGTTAGTGGTCCACTACAATGATCTGAATTTTAAGAAATCAATGCCTTCAGTTGGCTGGTAGCTAGGAAAAGCTGTCAGACACAGTATGAAAGAAAACATTAATAGAAATTGGCAACAGAACAAATACAAGGCTAGGGGCAATATATATATGGGGTCCAGAGCAATGCAGTGATTTGTGTGTGAGAAGCAGTCAGCCGGAGCCTCGGTCCCAAACTGCTCCTCCCCTGACCTCAGCATACTCTTCCTGCTCACTCTCAGCCACTTTCAAAGATGCATGTTCAAGTGTGTGTCCGGTTGGTGCCCAGTTATTTCCAGAACTCACCCCTCTCTTCAGCTCCAGGGTTGTGAGGCTTAGATTCTTAAAATTACTTTGTGCTTTAGCAGATGACTTATGAAATAGGACCCGCTCTCCTATCCATACTTCCACTGCCCCAGTTCACTTCCCCAGAGGCAGCTAATCAGTTTCTTATAAATGTATACTATACAGGAACAAAACAAATTCTTTTTCCCTCTAAGTTTGTTTTTCATCTGTAATCTTAATGGCAGTACCTCTTACTGGTATAATTTGCTGAATTACTGCTAGGTACCAGCGATATTCTAGGCAATACATATTTATTATTTCTAATTCTAACAAGGATCTCAGAATCCTCAATGCAGGCTCTTCCCAGCATTACTTGCTATCTCTCTCAGAAATGTTCTTACATTCTCTACCATCTTCCTCCTAGCCACAGCCATTTACAACCTCTAAACCACCACTTTGGATCTGTGACTCCAAAACACCTCACCCCGAACCACCCCATCCCTACCAATTTCCATTCAGAATATACAAACCTAAATCTGAGTCTGTATGTAGTGTATCCACTTCAGTCTCACATCTGTTCACAGGATACGGGTCAAATGCCTTAGTAGCAAGACTTACTATGCATTCACAGTTTGACAAGAACCCATGTTTTCAGCTTCCTGTCTCAGCATTTGTCATGGATCCTTTGCCATGTGCCATACACTGAAGATAATCCATGAAGCCCCTCATCCAACCTTCCTGTTTTGTAAAACCAGCACTTGTTTGGCCTGACTCTTAGGACTAATCCATCTTTTGATATCAATCTTTTCAAACCCCAGATTCCCTGTCTGCTTTGACAACTGGTATCTAAAGATACTTATGCATCCTTATAACTTATCCCCCTCCCCATGCACCCCCAAGCATGGACTTGCTTTCATCGTAAATCATCTGATGTGAATTTTGTCATGACTCTCAAAACCCTTGACTAAAGTAGAGCTCAAAAGTTCCTTCTGATATATTTTCTAACCTCCAGGCCAGGGTTAAGCCTTCTCTCTCCTCTGTGCTGCAGCAGCCCTGAGCCCTCCATCAGGAGGTTAATCTCCTGCTGGCAGTATTATTTCCATGCCACTTTCCCTCCTAAATGAGGCCCACTGCTCACTTCCTCCAGACAAGGTGTAGCCCAGAGGGACATTTCTTACAGAGCCAGAAAATGCAGTACATGTTTCATAAGTATTTGTTCAACAAGTAAATGAATTATTTATTCATCTTTTATTCTCTAGTACAGTTTGTAGTGTATAGTAGAGACAAAGGATTTGTTGGCAGTGGATGAATGAAGTTTATTGGCTTTCCAATAATTAAATTAATATTTAGTTTTTATCATCAGATTTGCAAAATCAGTATTCCTCACTTAATTTCAGTGATATTCTTTCACTTATCAATCCTGCTTCCCATTCTCCATTCTTTCATTCCGCTCATTTAAAAGGCCTTTGAAAAGTGTCTTCTTTGTTACAGGCACAAACTAAAAATGAATCCTAAATTCCTGCAAATGGTTAAATTAATCCCGTGGTTTTCTCCCAGTAAATAAACTATTAACATTAACTTGGATGTATTGTCTTCTGCTCATTTTAATTTCTGAAAGTTTCTCTCTGCTTTGTCTCATGAGTAACATTGGGTGTTTATTTAACAGGATGTATGTTATGAATTTAAATTCTTAGGGCAACAGAAAAAAATTAACAAAATAACATTAACAAAACTTTCAAAACATTTATAGTCCTTAAGTTTAAAAACAATTTTAAATGAAAGATTCATAACATTTTAGCTAAGCCATTTTATTCTAGTCACTTATTATTTTATGCAGTAATATGCTATCATTTATAAGTAAATATTATGCTAATATATGTGCCTAAATAAACATTGAAAACAATTTGTAACCCAAGACACACACTTCTACAGTTCTTACCATTCTCATGGCTTTTTGCATCAGTTATGCTAATTCTCATAATTACCTGCTGTTCATTGTATGTATGCAGTGTGAAGAGTGGCTTTTGAAGAATGAACTCTTCTTCCGTATCAATACCCAGCTTAGCTTTTGATGCTATGGTATCTGACATCATTCTAACAGGATCAAATTGAGCAACAACTCCAACCTGAAAAAGAAAGCAAGGCCACTTGGCACAAGATACAAACTATTTTAGGGCAATAAGACAAATATATTCAATGCCTATTAAAGTTAACAAATTTTGAAAAAGATAAAACCTAAGAGATGAAGACAGAAAAAAGTATTTACACCAGGACAGTCATAGAGATATACAAAACTGTTAGAACATGCATAAAAAAAAGGGAAATGTAACATATGGTATATGATTACTTGCTAATGATTAAATAGTTACAATTATGATTAACTTCCTATAAAATTTACTTTTCTGATAGGAGTTGTAAGAAACTTACATATAAAGCACACATATTCAGCTACCATGAAAGTAACACTAAATAGAACAAAACATTCACTTTTAATTTCTCAGTTAGCAGTCTATGACTATGGTAACAACCCTAAACAGCTTTCTAGAAAGCCCACCCTGCTTAAGCTGGCTCTAGAGAATACTACTCATGGTAAAGCAAGTGAGTCAGCCGTATAGGGCAAAATGGGTGAATTTCCACTCTTCCAGGCAACAAGGTTTCCAGAAACCACTGTCTGCCGCCGTTCCCCTTCTACTGCAAACCTGCAGTCATTCTAGCACAAATGCCCTTGTCCTGTATGGTGATTCAGACCTGCATCTTATTGAAAAGAAGCTCCTTTTCTTGTAAATTATATGCACCATTAGCAACACCTTCCCGTCAGTTCAGAAAGTGAAGAATTAGTATAAAGTAAGTGATATTTTTAATGCCACTTAGAAACTGTAATGAAATAACTGGAAGTTAAACACACTTTAACTATTATATGTTTCCCAGATAAAATATCTTATACTATAATTCTAACCACTGATTACAGAAAATGGACATCAATATTTCAAAAGGCACACAGTCTAGTGATAGACTCTCTATAGTTAGCAAACATTTTGAATAAAAATATGTTTACCAACAATGACATTAAGTTTTGTCTCCAGAAGTTGTAATATATATAATTATTTGCTAACGATTAAATAATTTGAATTTTGTTGGGAATAGGATAACCAGGATTTATATTCCTATGCTTCAAATTTATCTCCATAATCCATTTTTACAGAAGAAGGTGTGATGTAAGGTTGTATACATTTATAATGCATCTGTAGAATGTATCTCACTATCACCTTTGTTTGAATCTCATTTGATGTTTACTGACTATCTTGATTTTGGAAAAAGTACTTCACCTCTGCGCCTCCTCAAGTTCCGCTTCTGTATATTAGGGTTTCTAATAGTACCTACGTCATAGGGTTGCTGTAGAGATTAAGCCAATTGACATCTAAGGGCTTTATACTTAGTAAGTCCTTGCATATATAAACTTGCATTACTATGAACCTAAAGGCCAGTGACAGTTCTTTAAAAATTAATTACGTTTATTTGTATATTTTAAGTACATGAAATGATCACACTCATCCCAGGGAATTTATGACTGTACATAACATAACTTGATTATTTTTTTCAGGCAATATTGTTATTCTTCCTATTTTTCAGATGAGGAAATAGAGCTGAAGATGGCTCCTGACCCAGGTTGTCCCAGGTTTGAGGGACACCAGCAGCTGAGGTCTTAGCCATGACACAGTGTCACCTCACCAAGGGGAACCAGGTATCATTTCCTATGAGCTGGGAAATGATGTGAATGAAGATTTAAAAACTTGTGAGTTGAAACTTTCACTTTGCAATTCTGCAAAATTACCAAGTAAAACTGTTTATCACGTTTCATAACTTCTTAAGTTCCTGCTCTTACCATCTACTGTTAACATTCACCTACTTTTCCTTGCTATTTTAGGCAAAAGAAGGGGAGGCTTTCATTTTTGCACAAAAAGCATACTTTTTAAAAAGTGGCTTTAACCATGTTTATTGACTGTGGCATACTTCCACGCAGACATTCCTACCCTAAAGAGGATTATCTTGCTCTTCCACATTTTTTAAGGACAGTAAAAGCTGTTGACTAGCTGCAGGCTTTCACTGTGGCAGATAGATACTACTCAACTAATAAACAAGAGGTGATATGGATGCATTTAAACCTTGGGAAAGCTTTTTAAAGGTGCTGATAAAGCTCTTTTAATATACTGAGAAGGTAGAAATAGTTAAACATAAATCTAATTGCTCCCCAGAATAAAAGTCAATGTCCTAATTTGAGTAAGTAAAATTTTATATAGCAGATATCATGAACCAAGCCATAGTAATAATGTTATTAAGAGCACTTAGAACCTTTTTTAAAATCACCCATGAAAAGTTTCAAATTAAAAACACCTGTTTCCTAAGGGCTGCAAGCCGCCTCTCTCTCTCTTCTTCCTCATGCGCTTCTTGAAGGGCCACTTCTTTCTGCTCCATCAAACGCTTTTCCAGTAATGCTTGTCTATACTTAACCCTTTGAAAACAACACACAGGAAAGTTGGAGAGCATTATAACAGCTTGAGAGACTATAATTTGTAAGAGGGACCATAGTCGCAAAAGATATCTCAGAAGGGAGGTCAGACTCATAGTTTGGTTTTATTTGTTTCTGGTTGATTTCTCAGATGCAAATAATAAAAGACAAGTGTGTACAATTCACAGTAATTCTAATAACCAGGGAAATGCAGGAAAGCACGGGGTTAAATCCAGTTCATCTCATTCCTCATTGAAACTAGTTTATTAACTATCAAACTCTGTGGCTTCCACAGCTGCAGCAAATCTATCTTAAGAACTGACTGGCTCATCTCTGAATTACAGCAGGTTTTTGCTGAGAAGTTTTAATACAGTAAGAGATAATAACAAGGTTGTATTGCTAATGAAACATACATCTTATAAGAAGAAAAGTAAAATAAATTACTAAAATAATATGCTTATATTGTTTTGCTTATCAGAACTTTAACTTTTTATATTTGTTACTCATTTTGTCAACAATGCCCTCTTCTGAGTGTATGCATTAAGAAATTTTCAAAATTGCACTTTGACATCTGTAGATGGCAGCAAAAACATGACTTTCCCTTAGCATTGTATTTCCATTCCCCTTAAAATCTCAGAAAATAATGCACAGCAATTTAGTTACTGGTTTATACCAGGAGCTCGTTTGGCCATCCTTTTTGCTTGTTTGGGGAGCAACCTCATTTACTGTCTTTTTCCCAAGCTATTTTTCACTTGCATTATTATAAAGAGAAAATTCATCTTTTTAAAAAATGTAGGCACCTGAGTTCTGGGAGGAGAATTAGGCCATTGCCTCTGTCTTTCGTCAATGACAATTTAGTTAATCCTTTAGACAATTTAGTTAATTACAAATGTCTTTTTCCCTTCATGTGCCCACCTGCATTTTCTAAGGTGATAACTTCAATAGACCTTTTATATCTGGAACCAGAAATTTACTGAGTGTTCTCTATGTGGCAGGTTTGTGCTAAGCACTTTATATGCTTTAGCTTATTGAAACTTCACAATCATTATATATTAGAGTACCATTTTTATCCCATTTTCCAAATAAAGAAATAGAGGCACAGACAGATGATATAATGTGTCTGAAATCTCATGTCTAGTGAGTGGCGAATGACCTAAAATAAGTCTCATGCCTGAGCCTTTACCTCTTGCCCTCTTGCCTCATGCAGTGGCTATGTGTTTCCCTCCTCTCTGTATGTTGTATCTTTCCTCCCATTTCCCTGATTTCTGAATACCCACTGTGGGCCAACCCCATGCTAGGGTGTGAGTACACTGAGAAGAAGACCCTTCTTATAAGAAGTTTATACTTGGAGACAACATGATGCACCTATGAACGCAAAAGATATATAATGCCTTGAGAGAGGTACCGAGAAGGCCCCCTGGAGAAAGGTGAGATGGCCATGTGCTGGGCTGTGGGAGGCAGCAGAAGACATACCATCAAGAAGCTTCAGGAAGGAGGCAGCATCTGAGTCAGGTGCGGAAGATCAGGCTCTTGCCAGGCAAGGAGGGTAGAGAAAAAACTACCTCCTAGGCAGCAAGAGCAAGTGCAGGGCTAAAGCCTGAGTGGGGGCACCTCACTTGTCCCCTCCTGGTCACTAAGGCCACAGGAGAAAGGTTCTGTGTACTGAGAGCACAGTGAGAAAATGGAGTATCGTAGATACAGACACAGAGAAGTACGGGTGGGCTGAGCCTGGCAACGTATGGTTTCCTTAGGAAGATCCTCTTTAAAAACTGGATACTCATGAGGCAAGCGTTGAAGGAAAAGAATGAGACATGAGGTAGATCCTTGTGGATTATAAATGTAGCAAGGAGGATCCTCACCTGTTTTAAGGGTCATGGCCATCCTCTGGATCTTCTCCAACATCCTGAGTCATATAGTCAGACCACAGACCAGCGTGCTCCTCTTTCATCCTGCCTTCATGTCATAAGGAACTATATTTCTCATTCTCTCCATTTTCACTAAGGCAGGACACCACTCCCTAACGAGGTCCTACTCAATTTATGCACTGAGTACGCTAAGTGAACTACTGTGAAGGTTCAATTAAAAGATTCCCTGGGATTTGGCAATTACCATATGCTAATTTTCAGAATCTTTAGAAAGTTTCTCTTCCTATGAGATACATAGGTTGCTTTGTCTGCAACAAAGTTTTTGTCTGCCTTGTGGAAAAGTAATGGTTGTTCCTGCCAGGGGAGCTTGACTGGCTTCCCAGTGATAATCAAAGTCATTCTGACAGTCTTATAGATTTGCATGAGAAAATTTACGGACAAAAAACATGCACTCAAATCCTTCATTTTTACAGGTGTTGTGGTGTAAATTTAAAAAATAATACTTTGCTTAAAAAGCAGGAACTCTTGGTGCTTCCTCCTATTCTGGATAGAAAAACTTCTCTGCCCAAAGAGAAGTAATGCAAAAAAAAATCTTGGGAGAAAGCCAAATACTCACATATTCATGGGAAAAGAAAATACCAACACAGTAAAGTCAATCACTTGGAAATTTTTCCACATAAATACTTTTAGTCATTTGAGGTAGCAGATTTTCTCCAAATTAAACTGTTGGTATGAAAGTCAATGTCAGTAAGTGGCGAGACTCAGTAGTTTTTAAGTTGTGCACTGAATTCCAAAGCAGGAACCTTGCATTCATTTCTCAGTCCGTTTTATGCTTTCTGAGTCTACAAAGGTTAAAAGAGCTGCAAAAGAGGCATTTTCAACTTCTCTTGGGGGAGGAGAGGCATCATATTGTTCAAAAGCAACAGCTGCTGCAGAATCAAGCACAGCATTAACAATAATCTGAAAAGGATTTTATTAAAGCCTCCAGGCCTGAGTGTAGTTGAAGGGACAGTACACTTTCATATGGGAATGGAGAATTTACTTATCATTTAGAAGACATTTGGTGTGTACCGCACTCTAAGAAGTGAGTACATGAATGCAGATGGTTTGAAGACACTTTACACTTCATTGACAGCCTCCTTTGGCTTCAGTGAAACTGAAGAGAGAACAGTGTAAACTATTAAGCATAAAATCTTAAACTTCCTCCTCTCTGGAGTTACAGGTAACTTCTGAATGAAGAAGGAGGAGGAGGAGAAGGAAGAAAAGAAGAAGAAGAAAAAGAAGAAGGAGGAGGAGGAGGAAGAGGAGGAGGAGGAAGAGGAGGAGGAGGAAGAAGAGGAGGGGAGGAGGAGGAGGAAAAGGAGGAAGAAAATTCTACTACAACCAAGAGAGATGGGAGAGGACTCAAGAATGGCCAATGTTGTCAAGTACTGCAATTAAGAAACTTTAGTAAATAAGACATAGGATAAATATATATCTGAATTAGAGTACTCTAACCAGTACTGAATGTCTCATAAAATGTTTCAGGCTGTGATCTGTCCCACTGAATTAAAAGCCATTTATAAGCAAACTTGTATTTCACACTGAAATCCTGAATTTCAGCGCTGAGCGAGAAAGCCTTAAACAGGCTCATGCCAGCAGTGCTCCTGTCAGAGGGGGCCCAGGGGCAGCATCACAAGGATTGTGTTTCTACCTGTTGGGAAAACCATTTTTGGCTCAAGTTCTATTCTGCAGATTGTTTTTCTCATTAGAGGGAGCATGTCCATTAGCAGGAGTGCACAACATGCAGATCAAAAGAGAGACAGGCCAAGTACCAAACAAACGAGCGAAACCTTTGTAGAGAAAAAATGGAAACTGCGTAAGCAAGCCTTCACACGGAATGGAATCGCCCTTAACTGCCCGGGCGGTCGGGATGCTGGCAAAGGGCAAAGGCAGAGAGCAGTGTCTGCAAATAGCAGTGTGAGTCTCAAGACAGTAACATCCTGGTACAGATGGGCTTGGGGCAAGAACAAAGAAGGCACAGAGCACCGCAGGCAGAACCAGGAACAGTGAACCCGAGCCAGACCCAAACAGAGACCATTCTTCTGGCTCAAAGTGCTTACTGGATCCTTTGTTGAGGATACTGGAACCCCATTCTTTAGCTGATTATTAGTTCCATCAGTCAGCATATTGTTGCTTAAGCCCTTGGTCCTAGGTGCCAAGCGCACTGTTTTAGATGGTCAGGATCCAGCAGTGAGGGAAAAACCAGATAAAAGACGTTTCCTACCTTATTTTTACATAATTTTTGATTTGAAATATGTAAATGTGCCTAAATTAATGCTGATAAACTATAAGGAGTTGATCTTAAATTATTTTTAATCACAAAGCCCTAAATAAGAGAGTAACTTCCTAAATTGTTACAGAATAATTCTAGTGATCCAATATCATTAGGATCACTAGAATTATGAAAACTTCCACCCTCGGCCCCCCCTCCCCCCACTAATTACATCAGAATGTGGTAGAAGGGCTTAAGTACTGGTATTTGATTCTGCCTGTTGTGTTAGTTAACTTTCGACTGCTGGGACAAAATACCTGACATATACATCTTCAAAGAGGAAGTTGCTATTTTGGCTCACAGTTTCAGCCAATGACTGGCTGAGTTGAAGACCAACATGTCATGGTGGAGAGGCCTAAAGAGGAAAAGTTGTTCAACTCATGGTTCCTGGAAGCAGAGAGCAGGAAGGGAGCCAAGAGGAAGTGGCTAGGGAGCAGATACAGTTCCAAGCCTGTGCAGACACACCCAGAAGTATGCTATACTGATCCAGGCATCTTTCAAATCAATCAAGTTGACAGTCAAAATTAACCATGATGAGTCCACCCTTTGTCAAGGAGACGCCCAAGTATATCTTAAAAAATACTAAATTTCATTCCGTAAGCATCTGTGGCCTGGCAAGCTGCGGCCGACCCAGGGTGAGAACCACCAGCGACTCCTGAGATCTGCGCCATGTTGGAATTTAGGGTGCTGGGGAACCAAGCAACCAGCTCGCCTCCCTGATATGTGGCTGTGAGCCTATGGGTGGGTGCGTGGGCTGAGAATCAAGCATCCTGTCCCCTGACTCATTAGCAAATGGGAGCCAGAGATCTGAGCATCTTTTGGGAGGTTGACCATATGCAATATAGCAAATAAGGGGGATTTCCTTCTACCATCTCTTTGAAGGCAAGTATTTTCATCACTGTTTTGCTTTATTCTGATTAATGGTATTGCTCTATTCAGTATTCTGTTTTGATAAGTTCTATAATATTCTGCATTTTGATTTTTGCTATACCTGATTGAAATCATAACTATTGTGAAGATAAATGAGATATACCATGATACCTATTACTATTATCCTGGTAACCTGCAATGAAGTTCTATACCAATTTCACTACACTGTCTAAATTGGCTTTGTTCCATCTCGTTGTGTTGTATTTTATTATATTCAAAATAATAAAAAAATTAAAGAATACTTAATTTTCAAATAGAAACAACAAAAAGGTCAGAATACTGCCCAGTATTATATAAGTATCTTGTGAACAGCTGAAAATACACTAATTCCTTTCCCAAACTCTGGGAAAGCTGACCCCAACTACACTCAGTGCACATATATATGCAGGCATTTTCTCTCACAAGATCCCAGGTTTCTGTCTTTTATTTTTAGATTTTCATCATGTAAGTTCAATTTTGCTCTCAGATACAGTAAATGTAATTATATTACTCTTCTGATTAAATTTGTAGCTACTACAAAGTTTGAGCATAGAGTTGGCTGGCATCTTTTTGAAAAACTTAGGAACAAACGTAATGACAAATCTAAACAAGAAAGCCAGTAGACCTCCCAATCCTCAAAGGTAAGCCACCATGATACCATGTATTACACCAAGATTACACCTATTCAGTTACTTTAAATTCACTATAGTCCCTTGATCAGTATATTTTGAATATTTCATACCTTATAATATAGATGCAACAATTTTTAGCCTGAAATAGTCATAATGGAGTTGGGCAATTAAGCCATGTGAAAACCTAAGGAAAGCACTCATAGAATGTGTATCTTTGAGTAATATAACTCATTGGGGTTGAAAAAAAGCTTTTATACGCCAAAGGAAAGAGTTGAGATGACTTTTTTTTTAATTAACTATAAACCACTTTATAAATTAGAGGCTATCTTCTAAAAATAATGACTTTAATATTAGAATAGTTGACTGTTTTACCCTCTTTTTCTGGCAGTAATTGGAAATTAGAGCCAGCTCTCTGTTATGGCCAAATCTAGATTTTAGTAATTAAACTGCATTTTGGTTAGACATCTGTTGTTTTTAATCTTCTGCAACCACTTAGACATATCAATCCCCTTTCTCTTCAGAGCTACTTCTCCACCCTCCATGTAGGTCTGTTGAGGGATTTATTAAGAGAATCCATGTTCCTTCCTAGGATTAAGGATTTACCTGTGACCAGATATGGTTAATAATAACACATTACAAATATGAGCACACTGATTGTCCCTGAGTGAGCACATGGTTTTGACTGAGCCATTTAGAATCTGTCCCTGGGATGTACCCATATATGCCAAAAGAGAAAACTTTCTTTTCCCTCTGAAGTCACTAAGCCAGGATGAAATAACCGAACCTGCAGCCACTTATAATTATACCTCCTCTTCTTCCCACCACCTCTGATATGCACAGAGAAAATGCATATCAGCCCACAGCCTGGAACTGAATTAAGGGATAGAAAGAGAAAAGAAACTCAAGCTGCCCTTTAGGTTCCTTGGGCAAGACCCACTTCTAGATTCTCATTCTTCTGAATCAATTCACCTCCTTGTTTGCCGAAGATATTGCTTCAGAGGAATCCTAATAAACATATTTTCTTTGTATAAAGGAATGTGCATCTTCTTACACTCTATAACAGAAAGGCACTCATCTAGCTGCTCCAAGGGATAACTGGTTCATTTCCCAAACTGATGGCTCATGGAATGTTAATTATTCTACAGGGTTTAACATGTATGTCATAAAAAATATGTTTAAGTAAGTCTGGGAAAAACTAAGATAGGCAAAATAAAATGGGCTTCTTTACCTGTTTCAGAGTGGACTCTTTCAGAATGTTTACAATAATGTGGTGGTGTGCATGATAAATCTCCAAAAGATGACAATGTGTTTATTGCACAAACTTATCTGATAAGAGAAATCTTTTTCAACAGAATCCACTTTAGGAACTGTTATTTGCCTTTCCGTGAGCAAACAAGAATGTGCAAGTAAACACTCTAATGGGCAGAGACACTTAGGCACTTTCTGGTTTGCATTACAATTGTTTCATCTTTTGTTTTGTGCTACAGTGTGCATTTCCTGTGGACAATGGCTATGTCTTAATCTCCGCTGCGGGTCCAAAAGTAACAAAGTACCTAAAACAGAAAATATGTACCAATAGGAGGAAACAAACAGAATTAATGGTGAATGAAATTAAAAAGGGATGGGAAGCATTCCACTGAGTGTCCCAAGCTACAGGTGAAAAACAGAACACAGGAGTTGACAAGATAAAAATTTAAGAATAAATTAAATATATAATCTTCCATTAAGACTTCCCAGTCAGTGAGTACCACTTCTTAAGATATTTAATCATCTGAGGAGTTGAAAGAGAAGTTGAATTACTGGAGGACAAATCCGGCACCCAGCTTCTTTGGATGATTAGGAAACATGAATGTCAAAAGTAAAACTTCAACATGACATCCATGATACAGAATTGCTGCAACTGTGATTTTGGGTGAGCAGAACAGTCAGGAATGTTACGATGGTTTCTAGGAATTATTTATCTGCACTGAAAATTAAAAGTTCACCCCAAGATACTAGAATTTATTTGCCAAATTGCTTCCATACGTGTGTTCACCTGTATATGAAGCACCATATATGCAAATGTGTAATAAATTGTATTTCCACAAAACAAACTAAAAACTCAGAGCACTTTGAAACACCTATCAAATAGACAGAGGCAGAGCCTCAATCTGGCATTTTCATATGAGTTCACTAAGACAGGACACCTGCCCTTTGACCCTAACAGAGCAGTTTACACCACTGCTTCATCTCACAAATGAGTGATGGAAGATATACTTTAATCTCATATGTTTTATTCAATAGATTTTTAATGCAAAACGATTGTGTAAGAAGGGAGTTTATACTGAGTGTGTACTTGTCAACATTAGAAGTTCTCATTAAAATCTTACCCCACTTGCTGTACAAAGGGGGAAAATGGTTTTAAAGCTAAGAAAGTGCTAAAATGGAGTGATTTGTTTTATTGGATATTTTAATGTTTTATTCATAATATAAAATTTCTGATTCATAAGTCTCAAACATAATCTTTTCAGAATCACAAATACCGAGAGAAGCACTTAGTATAAAATCTTTACAAACCATACTAATAAAATAGGTTGCCATCTTGTCAAATGCTAATTTCAGTCCGAGTTGATTTGTTTCAACTTTTACTCTGTGTGAGAGCTGACTTTAACTTCCTCACATTTTCCTGCAGATAGGCAGTGTATTTTGATGAGGAAACTGGCTTCCCCTCTTCAGCAGTAAGGTTGGAGGGCAGGGCACTAGAACAACAAAAGCGGACACAGTCCTCTCCCTCAAACAAGTGATTTAAGGAAATAAAAGCGCCAAAACTTGCCTTCTCTAATACTGCTTGAAAATCCCCCTTATATTCTCTTTTCTCCTTCCCAGGTTTCTCAGAACTTCTATAGACAGCAAACATCAAACGAACCAAGATTTCAGGAGTGATTCAGCCGCCCACGGCAATGAAGTCAACCCTGATTTTCTTTCAGC